TCACCACCAACATCACCCCTATTGCCGCCACCACTACCACCTTTACCACCACCACCACTGTCACCACCACTGCTACCACGACCACTACCACCACAAACATCTTCACCACCATCTTCACCACCATCATCACCGCGCCATCACCCCCATCCCCTCCCCTGCCACCACCACCACCACTGTCACCATCACCACAACCATCTTCACCACCATCATCATCACCACCATAGTTGTCACCACCACCACCACTACCATCACCATCACTACCACCTCCACTGCCACCACCACCGCCTCCGGCAACACCACCTCCACCACCACCGTCACCACTGTCACCATCAACATCACCACCACCACCATCATCTTCACCACCATCATTACCACCACCACCATCACAATCACCACCACCACCTCCACTGCCACCACCACCACCACCACCACCACTGCCGCCGCCGGCACCACTGTCACCATCAACACCACCATCAGCACTGTCACCACGATGACCATAGTATTAGACTTGCCAGAGGCATTTTGCTTTCTTGGAGAAAATTCATGTAATATGGAGGGACATCCCAGGCTGTTGTAAGATAGAGTGAAATTGATTGTGATTACATTAAAATCCTTTAGCAAAGCTTACTGTAAATAGTCAAACAGCATGGCTGTTTTATTTCTTAGTTCAGCTTGTGCTTTTTCGACCCACCAGCTGTTCAAAAACACAACTACTTTTCATCTATTGAGCTAAATGTGAATAACTTGTGAAAAAGTAATCAAATAGATTTGTTCTTAAGTAAATATTATATTGCGTCTATTTTAAAGAGGTTAAACTAAACATATTTTTAGGCACAGTGATTACATTTTGTTGAGATTTACTAATTTTTAAACTTGACACATTAAATCCAATTCTTAGAATCCTAAAACTGTTATGCAAAGAGTTTGACTAGCTATTATTTTTGAAATCTCATGTGGGACTGATAAAACAAAACAAAGCAAAAATCAACAGCCCCCAATACACACACACACACACACACACACACACACACACACACACACACACAGAGAGATATTGAGTAAATCTCAACTAGCAGCGATCCTAGAGGACAGAGTAGAGCATTTTCATAGGGTTTTGGGGCTGTAAATCTTTACAGAATAAGCCTGTCTCATCCTCCTCCGTTATAGCAACTGGTGGTTTCAAACCACCGACCTTTCGGTTAGCAGCCCACTGTGTCACCAGAGCCACTAGCATTTAACAAGAAAGGCCAAACTTTTCTATTTAAAAGCAATTCATTGTTAATTTATATAGCAGAGCAAAAATGACAGCAGTACTTCAAAAGATTGGCTAGGAAACTTGCAGGCAGTGAGTGTGTGCTAATGGGGAGGAACATGCCAGAAAGGGAGGTGACAGTGACTGCACACTGTGGGGAACGTCTTCAGGTCCCCAGTGGTTCACTCAGAACCTGTTACTGTGCAAGATGTTGTTCAGTGTATCCTCTCAACAGCAGCCAGAGAAGATAGTATTTAAAAATGGGTTGCAATACTCTTCTTGAAGTAGAGGTTCTATTTTATTTTAATTATAGGTGTTTATATATATGTATGTGCATATATAATTTATGTTACTTTTCACCGATGGTCAGAATTTACTTTTGGTAAGGGTTTAAGGTGATTTTGTGTCTAATCTCAAGTTATGAGAGTTAAGAAAAATAAGAACAAGAGAAGATAAAACTGTCATCTTCATCGTTTTCCATAAAGTACATATATTATACACACATTTCTATATGAAGTTGAATCTTGTTTTTGTTTTTTAGCAAGACCACAACTATTGTACTTTTGTTGTTGACTTCATCATCGAAATCATTTTAGAGTTGTAACACATGGCTTTTAGTGCACACTCATAGTGTCAAGCAGCCATCACCGCTGTCTAATTCCAGAACAGTCCATCACCCCAAGAAGAACGTTTCCATTAGCAGCCACTTACTTACCATGTTTTCCCCCACCTTCCGTACTTATCACCATTAATATACTTTCTCTATGGGTTTTAAAATGCTAGCTATTTCTTATACAGGGAATCATACAATACTTAATCCTTTTGTGTCTGGAATCGTTTATTAGCA